GTAGCCAACAGTCCTTTTATGTGGCTTAAAGCGGCGCAACTGTTGCTTCAGCCATAACGAAAATTTATGGCTTATCAATTTGCGGGACACGTGCAAAAAGGGCCCAGCTTCAGGGTGGCTGCAACAGAACGGCATGGGGCAGGGGGCCGAAGGGGCGGCATCGCCCCGAGGGCGCATAAAGCGAAGCAGATTCAATTAGCAGTTGCTTGAAATCTTCTCTCATGCACAAAGGCCGCTTTTAATAGCTGTCTATGGCAAAAATTGAGCATACGCAGCGTACGCCAAGGGGGCATAATTTTATATTTTGTTTATCGAATCGACCAAATGATTTTTGAGCCTGAGCTCTCCTGCCAGCATATATGCTGCACAATATAAATTTTAATTAAATTCCATGTCTGGCGTTTATTTTAACAATTTCGTTAATTTTCGTTGCCGTTGCTGTCAGCCCCAGCAATAAAATCGTCACGTTTTGTTGCTTTTATACCCTGCACTCTTTTAAACTGGGTAAAAAGGGGTATATTACTATCGTGCAAATGTATGTAATAGACGAAAGAAGGCATTTCCGAGGTCGTAATTGATATTATTGATTAGGACTGGTTAATTTTCCGGGTATGACCATACTAGAGACTTAAAAGAAAGCGTCCATTCTTGATTGTTAGTTCAAAGTCCTGATAGAGTCTTAAAGATCCGACTTTAACCCCAAAAGTAATTTAAGAATACATTTTTGCATAGAGTTTGATTATTAATTTATAGAAGTAAGTATAAATGAGGTCCACTTGGCTTTAGATAGAGGAAACCTCTCAGTCGTTCACTCTCGACTAGCTAACTTTTACTTTCTGTTATTAATTCTGTTGTCCAGCAGTGCGATAGTCTGAAAGTAAACGCAAGGGCGTCTGTTGCCATTATTTGAAGGGGGGTTAACTGTTTGTCTTGCTAATTAAAGTTGTGTTAAAAGCAGAGCTTTTTGTATTTGTATCTGGCAGATACTTTGTGCAAATCAAAGTGCCCAGCTGGTTTAGCAGCGGGGGTGTTTGTGTATTTGTGTATTTGTGTGTGTGTGTGACAATTTGTTGTGCTTTAATAATGTTAATTGCTTTACGGCTGCCAACTTTGCTATCTTAGCCTCAGGCAACTAATTGGAACAACTAATTGATGTACGCATCTATTTCTTTCTTTTTTTGGGCATGCTGTAACCTTTGCAGCCAATTAGCTGATGCTTGGCATCTGCCTACACATGTTTAATTCAGCAGGTAGGTAAATCTCTCCGGGAAATAACAGAGTGTTTGCTGATTTGTTTGCTCAACTAACTTCATATTTTTATTTGTTTTATGTGCTCCAGCACAAGAGTTGTGTGTTAAGTTAAGTTGTGTGTTTTAGATTATGTCAAGGTATTAGAGTGCTCTCGCAGCAATTACATGCTCACTAACCAAATATTTAATGGGGAAAAGCGAACTCTCACCATAATATTTCTCACTTCATCATAATATAACATAATTATAATTTTTGTAATCGTATATATTTCTAATTATTTATTAGCTCAATCAAGAACCTGATTGTGCCCACATAATCCCCAGTTAATTTCCCAACCTAATCCCCAATTAAGTTGCACATAAATCCTATTTGCCATGGAGACAAATTCTGAGCTCGTTTCGCCAACATTAACCTCTAATAAGTAGCTTGTTGATGTAGACATTATCTATAGATGGTTAGTTCTTTGGCAGCCGCAGTCAATAATGGCAGATAAAAACCAATATTTAAAATTGCCAAAGGCGATTACAGCTAAGCTGAGCGCATTCAGCGTATCTGCAGTTGGCACTTATGTAATTGAAATTGTCATCGGCCATTAATGTCATAAAATGTAAAACCAATGAAATGACGTTTAAAGTTGCCACAGCTGTCGCAGCAGCTGAAGAAACATATTAAAATTGAATGAGCCACCGCGAAATCGAAGACAACAATTGAGCGACAGCAGCAGCAGCAGCAACTCGACGCGATGCGGAAGCGAAAGCAAAAGCAAATCGAACTCTGTTGTATCAATGAACATCACGCTGCGTATACGTAATTTTTTCTGTTGACAATCGTCTGACATTTGTTTCCTGGCCCGTGCCAGCAGTATTAATAGCCGAAAGGCAGCTCTGACTTTTACTATATCCTATACTTATTGAAAATGGTTATGTAAGAGACAAAAGGAGGCATCTGCCATACCATAGAGCTCACATATTCTTGATCTGGCGTAATAGATCAATAGATCAGCTACGGATACCACGTAAATTATAGTATATAAATTGACTTGGATTTTTGCTATACATAGATAATTAACAATCACTTTCAGTCTCCTCAAATTTTCTAAAGACTTGATACAAAGCACATAAGATATTCAAGATTGAGTTAGAACTTGAGAGTTCGTGTCAAGAAGAAACACGTTGCATTGCTGGTAACAGGGTATCTTCTCGTTGAACACACTCGACGATAAGCGCACTCTTGTTTATCCTTCTTTATTGTCACTCGACAATTGGCTGACATTATTTAACAGACGCGCAACTGCTGCCTGTGTGGGCGCATTCTGTCTATGCTCCTTTCCGTTCCGTTCTGCTCCATCTGGCAGCACAGTGGGCCTTAAAGGGTTAATGTTGGCAGCCGCTGATGTTGGGCTGATGGCACGGCTTGAACTCCGCTGCCATGCAAATTGTGGCAGCCTCAAAGTCAGACTTGCAACTGGCAGCGCTGTCTGCGTTATCTGGCGCGCCTATCTGCGCCTGCCAGCCTGTCGACTGCATCCAAGACGGAGTCTGGAGTTTTGGATCTTAGTCTGTGGCTTGTCTCCACTCGTTGGCTTCTGCTCCTGCCCGCTGTGGCTCAATGCGTGTCTGCAACATTGGCTTAACAAGTGATAAACTTGTCGCTTGTCGTCAGCTGCGCGTACGTCTGTGCCTGTGTCTGCGTGTTGTGGGTTTAAGTCCTTGTCCATTTTATTATTAGCCCCGGACGTGCAAAACGCCTCTCACTTCAGAGTCTAGCTAGAAGCGCTCTGCCATGGCCAGCCCGAGTCAGAGTGGCGGCAACTGAGCAACTGAGCAACTGTTGCAACTGTTGCAACTGCAGCATTGTGGCAAATTGCTAAGTACAAATTGCATGGCTAATTTGAGCTGTTGCACCGTTGACAACCTGACCGCAGAGCGCATTAGACAGTCAGAGGTGTGAAATGTGCAGTGGTTGCATGAATAATTGAACAACCTACACAGCAAACAATTTTCTAATAAATTTTAAATCACTAAGCTTTTACATTTACATAATTTTTGAGGTAAAATTCGCTTTGCTCAATATGAATGTGCTTCATTCTTAACTTATTTTAGCTCAGAGATTTAAAAAAAAATTAGTCAATGATATTAAATTGATTTATTTTTAAGCAAATAATAAAATAAATTATGAATATATATGATTTAAATTCCCTTTCAATTTTAAATTTTTAGTTTACCTATGGAGATTTTTTTTTTACTAAAATATTTTACTGTGTAGCTAGCACCTCAACCTGATACGCTTCCTGCATAAAGTGGGCAACTTTATGGCCCCAGGGCGGGTAATAACTATTTTTGACTGATGTTGGAAGAGAAATAAGTGCCTTGTTGCATTTGCGGGCAGCAAAAGTTCATGTAAACAAACGTCAAATTATAAATAAAAGTTGCAAATCTGTGCCAGTTCATAAATATATTTACACATTGTTGTGGCTGCCACAATGTTGCATTCACCCACTTAAAATTCAAATTTATTTTCAATTCTTTTCAAATGTAGCAAAATCGTATAAAGTGCATACTGAATGTCCTAAAAGTAAAAGCGATAGCAGACAATGTCCTCGAACAGGAAAGTGGCAAATATCAGATCACAAAGTCAACGCGACATGTTCAAGTTTACAAAAGCTGCACCACAAAGCGACAGGAAAGAAAATCAATATGCAAGGGTTTAACGAAGTTTATATACCCTTGCAGACAGAACGAACAGAATAAAAACCAAATATTTCATGCAAGCGTTTCCCAGCAATGTTCTTACAAGTCCGTAAGGAATTTTCAAAAAATTCGTTTAATTTTTCAGTAGCAGCAGTAAAAAATGCAGCTTCCCAGCTACGGCTTGGTCAGTCCATCAAACATTTTGTATTCATATAGTTTTTGATTTAACAAGCATATCTCACCCAATTCATTACACATTGGCCTCGAAATTTGCAATGCTCTGCACAAGCGAGTAGAATAAGTGAGTAAATCAAACAAGTCGAAATTGCAAATTTAAAAATGCAAAAACAATCAAAAGTCGTAAACATTCAAGTGTTGACTTAAGCTGCTGTAAAATCACGTGAGAAAAAAAAACACTATGAAAATGTAAACTGAACAGTAAAACTTTAACAACTTTTTCCAGCTGTTGGCCGTAAAATGCAACTGCCAATCGAAATCGAATTCATTTAGTTAAGTGCAAATTATTTTGTGACCCAATTATGCACACTCAGCTACTATTTAATCGATTAATTAGCATCCATGAATGAGTATTCACTTCGAGTAGGGAATAACAAATGCATTCAAGTGTGCAGTCACAAGATTTAACACCCGTTGCCTCAAGTGAAATTGAAATTAGTTACGAGTTTAGCATTAACCCTGAGGTAATGCCTTAAATTTGTAGCTTATCACAGTTTAGTAAATTTGTATACCCTGCTTACAATGTGAAAGCGAATATATTGATATTCATGCGGACAAATACTGACCATGAAATATTTAATCGTTAATAATTTTGTAAATCCAGAAGAGCCACAGTTTTTGAGCTAGAGATGATAAGTTCGGCACTCGACATACTACTCTAAAGATCAAAGATCTGTGTATATTTTCTAACGTCACAAGCTTAAAGTAAGCTACAGTTAAAGAAACTCTTTCCCAATTCACCTTTCAACTATTTTAGCACTGTAGAGTATTGGGCAGTCGGCTGAAGCCGAATCGAATGTTCTTAATTTTATTTTTACATACTTTTCTCTTTTCTACAACTCCATTAGCATGCTGAACAGCTGAAAATTCATGTTGTTTGCGGCCTATGCCAAGTGAATTTGTTTAACTGTTAACGCTTTGCACGTTCTATAAACGATTTAGAGCGCGCTCCGCACTCCGCACTTCACTCCGCACTGCACTTACAGCGTACACTTGATCTAAGCATAAAGCCCATAAAATATATATTTATATACTGCAGCACAGATGCAATTTATCAAAGATACAGATGCTTTTGTTGCTAACCACTAAACAATTTGTTTTTATTTTTTACATAATTTTAAAAAATTGTTTTAACCAACAGTGAAAAGCCAAATGGCCAGCAAATTGGCTGTTGTCAAGCTGTCAGGCTCAGTTTGGGCCAAGTTTGAGCGAGCGTTGCGTGAACCGCGCGCGTCGAGACTCGTTTGTTAACTGACAAACGCTGCCAACCTGCTCGAAGTCAGCTAGCGGCCAACCAGACAACCAGCCAACCAGGCAGCTGGACGCTTCATACCAAACGGTTCGACTTGAAATAAAAATAAACAGCAACAACAAAACAAGTTAACAAGTCGCGGGGGCGAAGTTGCGGCACAGCTTTCGATGAAAGTAAATTCAATTTTGGCAGATATTTCAGGTTCTCAGTAAAAGTTATATTTGCAATTCTACATTTGAAAATTCACTATTAATACACTTGCTATTGCGATCTTGTTTAAACAAATATTTGAAATGTTTACGCTAAAAATAAGTTTTAAAAAATCTAATATTTACCTCAAGCTGAACTTTAAAATATATACTATAGAATTTTATTGTTTATTATATTTTCAATTTGTCAATGGATACATTCGTATCATTATTTTGTCAAATTGATATTCTTACATAAAACTCATGTTAGGTTGACTTTTGACTGATAATTTTTTATCATATCCAATCAATCCAGTTTCAAAGAAAACCAAAAACAATTAACATCTTAAGCAAAAGCAGATGTGCTCCCAAATGAGTTGTTCGCAGAGCTTTAACTGAATATATTACCATTAAATCAAAAAAAAATCTACAATTAACAATCAACTCAAACATTTGAATTCTGTTTAAATAACAGAGGTTGGTTATGTTAGCGCAATGCGCGCTGTTGGGCATCGAACATGTTGCATTGGTGTATTGTTGAGTTGCAGGTGAGCTTTGCAGCTAGAAACTAAAATATTCCAGAGATTTGTTTAATTCGATTTGTTTAATTAAAAAATACAAGGTATTCGTTGCTTTATTTAGCCAGAATTTCAAAAATTGTGACCCATTTGTGCATTTACAAAATTTATATTACAAAACTGCGAAATGTTTGCCAAGCAAATTGTTCATTTGTTTAAGCCTGCCAACGGGTTTTATTGCTGCCGTGTGGGTGGCAGCAAGCTGTTGCTGCTGCTGCTGCTGTTGCTGCTGATGTTGTTGTTGTTGTTGTTATTGCTGTTGCTGCTGTTGCATGGTGCCTCATATTAATTGCAGTGCTTCACTGGTAAAGTCGCCCACGCAGCAAATAAAACAAACAGCAAAAGTTGCATCAGTTCACAGTGAACAATTTTTCGGATTAAATTGAAAACATTTTTGTGTTTATATACAAACAATTCTAAAATTAGTTTTAAGTTCGTTTTGCAGGAGAAAAATGAAATTTAGGGAATGAAAGTGCTTTTGCTCCTTTAAAGACTATCAGTGCTTTATTAATATATAGAAAAATCAAGATCTCATATAAATGGCACTTGGGTTTGAACCGGCGTCTTCTCGTTTGACAGGTAAAAGCGCAGACAATGCGTGCAACTAAACATCTTGTGTTAGATGAGGGGGGATAATGAATCTGGAAAATTCTCAAATTTGAGCTTCAAAACTAAATTTAATTTAAGCAAATTTAAATTTTGATGTAATGTAAGCATCTTTTTTTTACTGTGTTGTCGACCCACTTGCCAAAGAGCCAGTTGGAGACGCATTCAGAGTTGGAGTTGGAGAACGCCTACCTGGCGTAAGCCCCACACGTGAGTGTGTCCAGTTAGACAAAGCACACGCCTTGGATGGAGCCCTGATCCTGGAACCTAGCGAGCACTTTGAGAGCTGCAGCGAATTTGCATTTATTTACATTTGAGTAGTGTGTCTGGAAAGGCGCATGATTAAGCAATAAATTCACACGATCTGGCAACTTTTGCTTGTGGGTGTTTGTTATTGTTGCGGCTGTTAACGGTCCCCGTTGCTGCACGCAGCAAGCCCCATAGTTCCATTATTTTTATTATTATTATTATTATTTATGGTGCCTTTGCTTGTTTGCCCATTTTGCTTGCATATTTGTATTTTCAATTGATTTCGCGTTTGAGGGAAAGCGGAAGCTGTTCAAAAATAGTGCGACAAACAAGCCCCAAAGCCAAATATATTGCAAATATGTTGGGTCATTGCACGGTCAGTCCGATGGCGACAACAGGTGTGCCAAGAAAACGCATTGTCATCGCTGCTTAGGACTGTCAAGTACTTGGATTAAGTTGTAATGAGATGGGAGAGAGTATCTCGGCATAAAGTAAATGGCTAAACAAATTGTCGTATCGCACTAATCCCAAATGTGGAACAATAAAAAACACTGGGGATTCAGGTCCGAGACTCTGGCTATAAATTATGTCAGTTATCTAAAAGCTGTCCCGTTTGTTAAGGGAATAAGGCAAAAGAAAAGAATTCCAAGAAATAAATTATTTTCATTCCATATATTCTTTCATACAACACCAAATTTTGCGATTAACGAACTGCACAAAAAAAAAGAAGCCTAGTTACCTCCTACCCTATTCTTCCCATCTAAATACTAATTAAATGAAGTGTTTACAACTCTTTTTGTTTTTGGAAAAAGTAATACCGGTTACCGGGTCCCGGCAAATACAGATGCTCGCGGAACTCCTGCAAAGTGAAGGCATTCGAATTGTAGACAAAGGCACTATTGCTGTGATACGAGGAGATACTTGAGTGGCGCTCAATCTCTTGCTTTATTTCTGATTTGTTAACACCAAGCATTTTCCAAATGTCAAATTCCTCCTCCTGTTCCTCGTCTTGCTCCTCGTGGACGCTCAGATCAGTGGATGATTCGGATGGTCGATTCCTGATGCACTCGTCCCGTCGGTCCAAGTCCTTCTGTATTTTCGTTAAAATGGGATGCCTTAATCCAGCTAAATGTTGGAGAAGGCTCTCCTCCGTTTGGGTCTCATCTCCCAAAAACGAATGCTGAAGCTCATAGTTATTGCGCCTTACAATGACATCCACCTCGAACTCCTCATCCGAGTCCAGATCGCAGGCCCGACAATCGAAATGGGTGACCTTGTGGTTCGTTTGCAGTGCGCATATTATATCACGTCCCACTGCTGGATTCAGCCTTACGGCCGCCATATCTAGGCGGCGCAATGGCTTATGATTGCGCAGCAGAAAACTAATATTGGATGCCACCTGGGGGGGAGCAGTCTCAATGCCATTGATGTTCAGCTCCTCGACATTATTGGTGCCAATGATATCGTGAATTAGCATCGACAGGCCAGTATCGGAAATTGGATTATGGGCCAGACCTAGATACTCCAAAGGGCTGCCTTCGGGATCTTCAAAGGAATGACATCTAAGTGCGTTTCCGATGGCCTGGACAGCAGTACGTTCCAGCTTATTATACTCCAGCTCCAGCGCTTTGTACATTTTCGTGCGTTCCAGCAGCATTTCCAATGCCACGTCACAATTATCATTCAGCTGATTGTAGCCAAAATCAACAATCTCCAGCGCGTCCAGCTGCTTAAGGACACGCGCCAATATCAAGAGCTTGATGTGATCCATTCGACTATTGCGCAACCGGAACACTTTAAGCTGGTGCAATGTGCGCAGTCCATTCGCTAGATGCACCATGTCATCGTAGGAGAAGTTCATGTGCCGCTTGTGATAGTTGAGCTCCATATCGGGGCCAAGAAACTCGAGGGTAAGCGTGACCAGTTGATCAAAGTAGCGCACAAAGCTGAGATCTATGTGATGGCAATGCTTGGCGGGATAATCGTAGCGCTTGATGCGTCGCAGCAGCTTCTCCTTGTTGCGGGCATCCGCCACTTTGTCCTCGTTATCCTCCGGCTCTGGTTCGACGGCCAAATCGAAGACACCCTCGATCGGCAATTGCTTGGCCTTCTTTTTCTTCTTTTTCTTCGGCTCCGGTTCGGGCGGCATACGAAGAAGCTCTCGATTCCTTTGGCGTCGCTCGTGCTCTGCTTTCTTCTCGGCGTGCAAGTCGCGCAGCTGCTGTCGAGCTGCATTGCGGGCAGAGCGGGCTTGACGACGCTTCTGCTGCGCTTCCAGGTAAATTAATTCCATTTGCTTGCTTCCCTGCTCATCCGAGGAAGCGGTTGAAATGGAACGTACATCAATTTCAATTACTCTTGTCTTCTGCTCATCTATTCGCACTGCGGACTCTCCACGCTTCTTTTTCAGTGGATGCACTATGACCACCTCCTCCTCCTCCTCACACTCCTCTTCTTCGTCCATTGTATCCCTAGACACGACACATGGGCGTAACACACATTTCGAACTCTACTTTGGTTGGTCTGACTTACTTTTCATCGCTGGATATCTCCGATATTTCAGACTCTTCCGAGGAAATGTCCAGCTCCGATTCACTTTCCACGTAGTGCGTAAAGGAATCATCCGTCAGCGACTGCAGATGTTGTATGTGCATCGTTCGAACATATTGCCGCACCAGGTATCCCAGCTCGGCCATTTGCTTCTCTGGCCAGTAGGCAGCCGGGCAGGCTTCAACCAGTTCTACATACTTAAGGCTCACACCCTTACCCTTCCAGTCATACTCATCGATCTTCTTCAGCGACAGCGTCTTTTCCGAGCTTTTGGCGAGCACCACCCGTCGCCAGAAGCGCACATCGTCCACAAAATAACAGTCCTTCAGCGGCAGATTAACGTCCAGGGCATCGTAATGAACGCGCAGCTTCAACGGATCCTGTTTCACTAGCGGCACAATATATCTGGTGCCCATTTTGGCCAACGCCCGCACACACAGATCTGCCAGTGTGCCCAGTCGCTCGTTCTCGATAAACGCCTCGGAGTAGACCTCGCGATTGAGCTCACTATGGAGCCGCCTTGTGCCCATGGAGGGCCTGTAGAGCTCATATTCCACCAGCAAATCCGGCTCATTGGGTATGGCAAAGGTGTTTGTGTTCGCCGGCGGCAAAAAGTTCGCATCGTCCTCATCATCCATTGTCTTTTATTTTACAAATGATCTTTTCTTTAAAATATATTTTATTCCCTTTTAAACTAGTGAGCGAAACGTTCGAGATGCTAAAGGAAAATAACCTACACATCTATATGTATTTACTGACTAGACTATTTGATGTTGAAGTCTACAGCACACCGATTTTGAACCGACCATGTTCGAAACAGAAACAGAAACCAAATCTTGGTTAATTTTGATGTGGAACACCAGATGCAAAATCCCTCAACCAACATCTTTAAGTTTAAGTTCACGCTTTACACATTTACAGCATCAAGAACTTATTTCCATGTTTTAAATTTATAAATGCTTACATTGTAAATGACTTCATTGCTTGGTCTGGCGGATAACATCTTTATTGGATTTTAAATGAGCTGCCTCAACGGCGCTTGGCGCTGGCGTCAGACCCCGGCGGACCGAGACCGAGACCGAAGCCCGAGCCCGAACTTAAGCCTGACCTCGAGGCAGCTTTGGGCATGCCAGCAACAACAACATATCAACATCAACAATATCAACGACAACGACGCATTGTTTCCAACACTGGCTCGTGGCTAAGCATCTCTCTCTCCCTCTCTCTTACACACTTTCGCTGTCTCTGTCTCGACTGCAGTTGATGATGATGACTTAATCGTTGATCTGAGTTCGCATAGGTGGGCGTTATAGTGATTTATTATGCCGCTTGGACACGCACTATAAAAACGGACTGGCCTATGGAAAAAAATATAAAACAAGAAATCAAAAGCGATATTTCTTACAACGAATTGCAAATACGCTGCGTAAGTAGTATTTACCGTTTATTTACAACCCAGAGGCAATTTTAACATGCAAACGGGTAGCTTTTAACAAGCAGCAATCAGAATACAGCGAGGTCTGCTTAAAAACACAGCCAAAAGTGAAAAACTGATTGATTCGGCAGCAGTTAACTTGTTCGATGCCCACGAGTAGCCCATTGTAGAGTATAAACAGCATAGAGAGCATAAAATTATATGAGTTCTAGTTCTGCATAGGAACCAGTTGAATGTGAAAAACTTGCGCAACAACATACGCAGTTTAATAGTTAACTTCTTGTATTTACAGCTTGGTTGCAAATTTCAGCATGCAACTGAGTAGCTCTTGGCAGTGTATAAGCAGCATAATGCACACATTTAATAATACGAGGTCTGCATAAGCAAAAACCAGTTGAATGTGCGACGTTTTAAATTGCGTCGCTTTGCTCTGCTTTAGTTTAGTTTACTTTACTTGTCTCATACTTTGTCCTACTGCTTTAATTTCTCGCTCGGCTTGTGGCCACCTGATTGCTACTGGGTGGGCAGTAGGGCGACACCACCGCCCGCGCCCTCCACCACGGTACCCGGGCAGCGCTCGCTATCTGTGTCCTTGCCTGGGCCCAGGTATATGAGATGTATGCCGAGCCTTAAAATGATATATCACAGATGGCGGGCGCAGCTGTGCGCCAGTTTTCAGCCGCTTAACGCTGCAATGCCATAATCATCATCATCTTTCTCATAAAAGAAAGCGAGCGAGAAAGAGCGCCAACCATTTATTTATGCACTTGACTTGCGAGCCCCCATCCCCCATCCCCCATCCTCCATCCTACATCCTACATCCTCGCCCTGGGCCAATTGGGGCGTTGCGCGGCGAGGCGATGAGTGGGGATCATTTGCAGAGGGCAGCCCTTAATGAGTGTATCATATTTCACACAAGTCTGGGCCGCTGCTTAAGCTGTCAACACCTGAGCGGCCCATTGTCGCCTCCGATGCCACCGGCTGAGTTTTCGAGTGCATCTTCGAGTGCACTCACAGCAGACACTTGTGAATCAGTGAATACTCGAACCAAAAACTTTTGCCTGCATGCAACAAAGTCATCAAATGGTAAATAAATAAATGCTAAACTGTCTCCATCAAAACTTACGAACAAGTCTTTCCAGAGCAGCAGCAAAAGTTTTTCCACTTGCACAAACTTGTCTAAGTAGGTGGCAAGCTATTTTATTTGTTACAGGGTATATGTAAAACTGCTGCCATTGAATTGTGTAAATACTCAAATGTGCTTGTTGACAAGAGCAGCAAAAAAGTTAACAGAGTGTTAAAAGTTTTAGTCTGTGGCTTACAAGAGACTTGTGTATTTATCAGATGGATTAACATGAAGAATAGCATTTCAGATCAAGTACAATTAAGACCAACCAAAGGCCAAAAGATACAAACTAAACCTTTTTTATCACTTTGAATAAAATGAAGCATATGTTGCACAGACGTCGATTACAATGAACTTGCATATTTATCCGCTGGATTAACATGATGATAGGACCAACTATTAGGCTTAATTCTTATTCAAACACAAGTCTTTTAAGACATTCTTGTAGTCTCCCTGTCATTATTAAGACTTAACTTGCCTTGCCGGCAGAGCAAGGTAGCAGATGGCAATTTATGCAGACTAGCTTAAAAACAGAGTAAGTACTTGAAAATTTACAATATGAGAAGCCTGTTAAATTAAGGTAACCTCGAAAAGCATCTCATGGGTTACGCAACAGTTGTGTCATGTGCGTTTAGGGTAACTACAACTAGCTTGGCCTTGAAATGAAGTCATAACCAGCATAATTGCTGTAAATGAAGCTTCCTCAAGAACACACTACAATTCCAATTCCAGCCCGTGAGTTGGCCAGCCTATGCCTGTAATTGGGGCCAAATCATTAGGCACGTAAGCAATTAGACTGGTTGTTAAATGAGCTGCAGCAGCCACTGCAGAGTTATAGCTGAGACTCGACTCTGAGATGACGCTGAAGCTGAAGCTGAAGCTGAAGAGGCGGCAATATGTATACACATATATTTAGAATTGCGCAACTCAACAGATCAGCAAAGTCGTGTAGCGTAGTGTCAGTTAATAGTCCATAAAGTGAGTAGTGCAAAGGTGCAAAGGTGCAAAGCTGAAGCACTGGAACTGAGGCCCCAACTAAGCAGCTCAAATTGTAACGTTGAAAAGCGAAACGTGCACTGTAAACAATTTTTGGCTAAAATTTGAATTGAGAGAGTCTGTTCTTAAAAAAAATCCAATATAATAAATAATGATTTAATTATCGCACTGTTAAACAAACATTGATGGGCATCGAGCCGTGAACCTTTCGCCAGACAGGCGGGCGCCTATCCTAGTTTTGATTTGAAGATTTCCGACTTCTTTAAGCTCTCTAAACTTATACAAAGTAATGATAGAGTATGCACTTAAGAAAGTTTATTTTAAGTACAACATTACTTAATTAAATATGAAAAATTGTTACAATTTACGACCGCAGGGATCTAAATTAAAAGCCACCATTTTTTGACGGTGTCATTTCAAAAGCCACGCGCAACATGTTGACAGCAGGCCATAAAGGAAAAGAGCAGACAAGAAACCAGCTACAGCATCAACAGCGGCATCAAAGCGCTCTTAGCCAGAAAGACACGCACATTAATTATGTTAATTGAACTGTAGCACACTCTTAAAGAGAGAGAGATAGAGAGAGCGCGTGCGAGTGAGAGTGGGAGCATCCTCCAAGGAGAAGCAACAGTCACATAACTCATAATGCCATTTCCGCATGAACTCTTAAGTTGGCCCCAGACATAACTCAGCTGACAGCGCCTGCATATAGAACTTTAAGCAAGACTTCATTAAAACTTGTGCAGCATTTTGTCTTCTTGGTTTAGACAGCAAACGCTGTTCTGGCCAAAAGGAAACAGGACCAAGTCAGCAGCGAGGGCTGACCAACTGACAGGCAGGCTAGCTGGCCGGCAGGCGTCGGCCCCAATCCCAAACAGAGAACACAGCAAACAGACAAACTGCAGCCGTGCCTAATGACCACAAAAATAGCCAAATGCAGTTTAATTTATAGCCCAACGCCAACCACTCGGGATGTGAGAGAAGTTGCAATGCCCAACGTTCACATATTACAGCGAGGGGTGCTCAAAAAGTTAGCTAAAATAGAATACTGTTCATTTTCATTCGCAGAATGTAAATCTTGAAGATATAAGCATTGACCAGAAATTATAAAGTATATATAATCTTGATCATAAGAAATAGACGAGTCAAGATAGCCATATCTGTCTGATTCTCCTCCTCTTTATATCTCTCCCTCTCTCTCTCAGTTGTGTAACTATTCTATTGAAACTTTTTACAGATCTGTTAATTGGATAAGATCTCTAGATCTCTATCTATCATCATTTTTTATATCATAATTTTGTATATTACGAACTTTCCTTTTTCAGCATCCGTCAGCATCAAACAGCTTCAATTTGAACAATATTTTCAATAAATTATTTCTCATATACATATTCCATATTGTGCTATATGCTCCAAGGGCATCTAATTTTCTACTGTCCTTTAAGTGAAATCTTCTTCACAAATTTACATTCAATTTAATCTGAAAAACTTTTCTTTTACTATTAATCAAACTCTTATGAAATACCTTTTCTTTATTTTATAATTGCTATATAATAATTTTTGAATTTTCTTTTGCCTTCTCTTTTTATCCATTTATTTATTTTCATTCCCATATATTTATTTTTTCCAGCTTCTCTTATTTTTTATCAGTAATTTTATAGTTTATATTTCTGATTATGCGAGAGATAGTATTTCTTTCAATATTACTTTCTCTAGACTGTTGCATTAAATGAAATTGATTTCCATTCTATTTGCAGTAGCATTGGAGATTTAATACCACAGCCTTGTTGCGTCGGAATAAAATATTCCAATGAAAGCCGCCAGCAGCAGCTAGTCTTGTAAGCCCCCTCCGCCCCCTACTCTAGTATTCTAGCGTATTTTGTTGCCTCCATAAAAGTTGCATTACAAATGCGCGCGCGGGGGCTGGGGCGTGAGAAGCGCAGCGCAACGTCTGAGTGATTTATTTATACGACTAACAGCTCTGCCTTGACTTTGTGCTAAAGTTTGGTTAACAGTTGATTTGAAAATTGGCGATTCATTCCCCAACGCCTCCCTCACCCTACTATTTGCCTAATTTGCAGCCTGATGGCACATCTTTTAATCGCATTAGCAACTGTTTACTTGTGCTAACAAGTGCTAAACAGATTGCGTCAAGTGAAAAACTGCTGCCCAACTGAGAACAGTATGA